GTTGCATATGATTCTGTCTGGAAAAATGCTAACAAATAACAAATATCTTAAACTGGCTCAATCTTGAGTCTCCTCTGAAGCTAAAATTTTATATGGTTTGGAGGTTCCAAGGTTAAAAAGAGACAATTTTGGGTGTCTTGGAGGCCACTGACTGGCTGTGGGGCTCCAACCCAAATGGCTCGTTATGAGAAGCAGGTTGGGGACGTTGAAGTGTGTGCCCCTTTGCAGCACATAGTCAGCCTGCAGTGGGACAGGTTAGCGCTGGCTGGGAGGCAAAATCTATGGGCACAATGCCAGTGTCGCCGGATAGGACCCAGTGCAAGGCCTCCTGTCCGCGTCTCTCCACATGCTACACCAGTAGGTCGATTCGGCCTCTGGGCTCACCTGAAACTTTTAGCTAAAAGTTTTATCTCTGCCCCATGCTTGCCAGACAGGATCACCTTCAACCCTCTGCAGACAGAAGGGGTTTCTGGGTGGGGAAGAACTGGGTGGGGGCAGGGATCGGATGAAGCACATATTGGGTGAAGTCCGGTCTCTTGGGGAGGGGATGGTACCCTGAGTAGTGAACGCCGAGGTCTCCGCCCGCAGCCTGCCGCCTGCCCGCACCTGCTGTCCATCCGCTGGGCGGCCGTGTCCGTCCTCAGCCCAGCTGGGCAGTGGGTGGTTGGGGCGGAGGATGAGCTGTCCTAGGGGGAGGGTGGCAGGACCCTTGGGCAGGGCAGGGCCAGGAGCTGTGTATAAATAGCCCCTGCCCAGTTGGGAAGGCCTGGCAGTGCCCGGCTTCCTCCCCCTCACCAGCTGCCCATCCCAGGCCGGTCCCTACCTCCCCGGGGAGCCTGGCCACTGTCTCAGACCCCAAACGGAGGAACTTCCTCAGCGGAACCGCTGAGGAGTCTTGTCCTGTGTGTAGGTGGAGCCTCCGGATGCCTGGAGGCCTGGAGAGTGGGGCTGCGGGGCTGCAAGGTGTGGGGAGGCCAGATTAGCCTTTGAGAGAAGAAATGATCCCTCCTCCCTTCCCTGCAGAATCAGCGGGAACCGAGCTGGTGTTGGGGGAGACGCAGCCTCTCTCCTTGGGGAATTTATGCCAGCACAGCCAGAGGGAATCAAATCAGCCCAACACTGTGTGATAAGAAAGTTTGAATAAGGAAGAGGAGAAACGCAGCAGCGGGAACAGTACTTCTGTCTCGGAGTCTGTGGTGAACCAGGAGCCCAGGGCTGACCGGCCGGGTTGGCGGAGGGGCCTGGGCGGCCGAGGGGAGCCTCCGGGCTGGGGTCTCGGCTCCTGCCAGGGCGCAGAGGCTGCGGATAGCCAGGCTGCGGGGCGCTCAGCAGGCCGGGCCAACCTCATCAAAGCCACGCACATTTTGGTAGGAAGGACGGAGGAGAATAAGGCTCCTACGTGACCGCGCCCAGGGGAGCGTGCACTTCAGTATTAGGGACAAGGAGTTGTGGGGGGCGGTGGAATCTCAGACATGAGCCGTGGGTGGGAGGCCGGCTCGGGGCCCGGGCGGCCAGGCACGCTCCGGAGGGCAGCGATCCTGCAGAAATCAACCCCACAGCCGTGGCCTCATTAGCCCAACACCGGCCTGCAGAGCTAAGCCCTCTCCCCAGCGGCCTTGCTCATTACCGGCAGGATGTCCACACCAGAGCGGGCGCCCTTGGAAGGGACACCCCGGAATGGCCCTTATGCCCTTCCCCTTTGGGGAGGGCATGTCTTTGTTCGGCCACTCTGGCTAGGGCTGAGCTCCCAGGAAAAGGGTCTCTGTGCTCCGGGCCAAGGCCCCCTCGCCCGCGCGGGATGGGAGGGCCTCTCACCCCTCGGGCGTGTTCCAGCCAGTCAGAGACGGAGGGCAGGACCAATGAGGCTGCCGGCAGGGCCAGGGCCAGAGCGCGGAACAGTGGGGTCACCACCCGCGGGAGCTTCAGCCCCTACATTCCCAGCGTGTCTGCTTCGCAGATGAAGAGGCTGGAAAGTGACGTGCGCGCTGGAGAGAGCAGCTGGGAAGCAGCAGAGCGGCGGCCTGGCAGCTGGTTGGCTATGGCCAGTTACCCAACCTCTCTGTGCCTCAGTTTCCTGTCTGTAAAGGGGGGGTGGCCATTCCCTCCCCCAGAGCAGTTGTGAGGATTAAGTGAGGTCACGCAGCGGAGCGGCCAGCCAGGACAGAGTGTGGTGGCCGTCACTGCTGGGTGGTGACTGCAGAGGACAGGAGGCCTGGCTGGGGCTGGAGGGAATTGTGGGTCACCGCGGGGAGGACCTGGCCACGGGCTGGGCATCTCTGGGGGAGGGGCGGGGGAGGCGGCCTCCTCTGCCAGGACCTCTTTGCAGGCATTCTGGTCCTGCTGTCATCTCCCTGGGTGAACGGAGCCTGGAACAACGGAGCCTGGAACTTCGGACCCTGGCTTGGATGGGGAGCGACTTGGGGCAGGCCCACCCGGTTGGGGGGTGCAGTGGGAGTGGAAGCCAGGCTGATGGGGAATGTGGGCACTGTAGGGCCAGTCACACCTTCAAGAAGAGGAGAGGACGGAGCCCCCTGTGGTGTGACCAGGGGAAGGCTCTGGCCAGGGCAGGGACTCCAAGGCTGGACGTGGTGCCAGGTCTCTCTTCCTGCTGCACCAAGGCAGAGACCCGCCCAGGGTCTGCAGGAGGCAGAGAGTCCCCACCATAGTCCTTTAGACGTGTCCTCATGCTCCCAAGCTCAGGACCAAACTGGGGTGCACCACGGGGGAAGCAGCAACCCCTGTCCCGCCTCAGCTCCCTGGCTGCCCCCGTCTAGGGCTTCAGTAGGAAGGGAGCAAAAAGAGTGGGTGAGGCCTGAGTTTCTTTCCATGGGGGACCTTGCTCCTGAGCCTCCTCCCCAGGACAACACCATGCTAAGACATCTACACTAAATCTTGCCTCAGTTTCCCCCCAGTGACTAAAGTGCTGCCAGGCAGTTGGCAGGGCAAGGCTGGATGTGCTGATTAGGAGCAGGTGGAGGGGTGGCTTGCACGGGTGGGAGGCTCTGTCTGGCACTTCGAAGTCTACAGACTTGGCAGCTTGCTCAGCTCCCTGGCCTCAGTTTCCTCATCTGTGAAAAGGAATGATGACAATGGTAACGAAGTTCCTGCCTCAGAGACTGTGAGGATTATGTCAGGTAAAAGATGGGCACTCAGAAGCAGCCTGGCACAAAGTAAAACATAGACACTAGATTATCACTATCATCATGCCAACCTGTCTATACCTATAGAGAGGGAAGGGGCAGGAGAGAGTGGCCTGTGGCCTATCAGGTGCTGCATGTGTCCCGTGCCCACTGGGGACTCGGGGTTGACTCGCTCTCCTATTCAGGCTCAGTGTTGAGGCCCAGGCTCAGGGCCAGGCTCAGGGCCAGGCCAGCAAACACCCCTGTCTCCTCCCTCCCTGACCCAGGCAGCCACTGCCCAGCAGGCAGGGAGCTGCTGGTTCGCCCGGCGGGCTCTGAGGCAAGGTGGCTGGGCTCCTAGGAGCAAGTCCTCAGTGCTCCGTGGTCCCGGCTGGTTGAGTGACTGGCAAGGCGAAGCCATCTGCAAAATGGGTCTGCTCTCACCCTCCTGCTGACATGGGTTGTCCTCAGGATTCAGTGAGCAGACCCAAGGAAGAGGCCCAGCCTGGCAGGGGGAAAGTCAGTAATTCAGCACTTAGCTCTTCTTGGTGCTACTGCAGGCCTGCAGGAGGCCCTTCCTTCTCTTTAAAAAGACTGAGCCCTCAAGATCTAAAAATGTTTCAGTGTTACACCTCTGAGCTCCCAGATCTGGTTCCCAGCCCCTCCCCCCAGAAGAAATAAGCAACTGGGAAAGCGGGGCCCACCTCTGCCTCTGACAACTGTACCCAGAGCCAGCTCAGAGCCAGCCGAGAGCCAGCCGAGAGCCAGCCGAGAGCCAGCCTGCAGTAGCTGCCCTCCGGGTGCCGGGAGCAAGAGCTGATACACGGCAGCTCAAGGGTTTGGCTCCTCTAGTGCCGAAAGCTTTCGTGTGCTTCTTTCTGGCTTGCCCTTGGGGTCTCTTCCCAAGGCTTCTGCTGTCGCTTTGTGTGGGGGGCTGCACTGAGGCCACTGCCAAACCAGAGCCTTTGGTCAGCGCAGGATCTAAAGGGAGAGGAGGTGAGGCCCGCTCTCTCCTTGCAGTTCACTCCGTCCCTGATCACAGGGCTGACGGCGACTGGCCTTGAAGCCCACCGAGACCCACGGATCATTTTCTCAGCTTCATGCACAAAATGTCCTTTCTGCTGCTCCTGTTCCCACCAAGGCCACAGAGTGTAGGGTGGGGGAGCAGGAGCTGAGGTTTTCTCCCTCCTTCCCGACCCGGAACTAAACTTGTCTTGAAACAAAACCAGTCTCTGGTGAGAGAGGAGGTGGCTCTCCAGAAACTTCTAGGAAGCTGCAGAGATAGTCACGGAGGCCCTGGTAGACAAAGGACTGGAAGACATTGGGAGGCTTGGGGTGGGCAGGCAGCGTCCTGGGGGAAGAGGCCTCCATCGCCACAGGTGGCCTGCATGTGCGCACGTGTGCAAGCTCTGCTGGCATGAGGTTTCTTTGCCTTTCCTGAGATGGGCTGGTTCCCATATTGGTTTGAATCCTTCCCATGGGTCCCAGAAACCTAGGCCCCCAGGCCAACCTTCCCACCAGGGAAACTGGCACAGAGCTTGGGAGGGACTTGACCTTGGGCCCTTGATGCCATCTTGCCAACTCAGTGCTCTTCTCATGGTGTTGTGCCCTGGAATGTTTCCACAAGTTTTCTGCTGGTCCTTATACCCCTGCAAGCTGGACAGGCCCTCGTAGAGGGCTGACTGCCTGGGCACGGCTCTGCCCTTTGAGGGGCCGCGTGTTCCAGAGGTCAAAGGCAGTGCATTCAGGTGCCAGGGTTCACAGCCCCATGTGCCTTCCGCTGCACCACCCACCCAGAGGGCTAGTGAGTGGAGCGGTGCCCCTGGGGGGCTGCATACTTTGTGCTTGTTTGCAGTGCCATTGCTCTCTGTCTGCCCGCAGGTCCCTGGCCCTGGGCCAGCAGTACACATCCCTGGGCTCACAGCCCCTGCTCTGCGGCTCCATCCCAGGCCTGGTCCCCAAGCAACTGCGCTTCTGCCGCAATTACATCGAAATCATGCCCAGTGTGGCCGAGGGGGTGAAGCTGGGCATCCAGGAGTGCCAGCACCAATTCCGGGGCCGCCGCTGGAACTGCACCACCATAGATGACAGCCTGGCCATCTTCGGGCCCGTCCTTGACAAAGGTACTGTCTCAAGCTCAGGCGGGAGGTGGGAGAGTGGCTGGTGGGGAGAGATGTCCCTCGGGAGGCTGTGACTCCCCGAGGGTACCTCAGTTGAGCCCAGAGAAGGGGTGGGGGGAGATAAAATTGGTCACAATCTGTGGCCTCCACAGAAAGTGGAGGTTCTTCTCTGAGTGGGCCCAGACTGTCACTATGGCTGCAACACCTTCTCAGGTGCGGCTGAGGTTGGACAGCCTTGAGCTGCTCTGGAGTCTGAGGCCCTAGTGGGCTGGGAGGCCTCCTCTGGCCTGCCTTCCCTCCTGGCTTGCACAGCGGAGAGCCCAGGCTTTGATGTGGACATCTGTGACATTTCCCCAGTGCTGTGTTAAGTGCTATACAAATCTAGGGGAGGGGGGGTCACCACCCCTAGGTCCTTCCCATAGAGAAAATTCTGGAACTGAGAAAGCTGCCTGGTGTGGGTGGCATTGCATTGCTCTCGAGTGCTTCCAGAGGTTTCTGCTGGTGCCCAAGCTCCTTGCAAGCCAGTCACCCACAGACCATAGCTGCGCAGAGGACGGGCTGGCTGGCCTTGGGGAACGTCCAGCCGCCTGCAACCTG